GTAACTATGACAGTCGCCTGTGTAAAAGAAAATGCATGCAGACACTTTAGGGGATCAATCCACTCCCCAGGGCATGGCCGGGGCTTTCCTCTTGGCTCATGGGAGTTGTGGGATCACCTGTGACCTGGACAGTGGCACCCACACGAGGTGAACCGAAGTTGTGAACAGGCTCTCTCTCCGCGGAGCCCACCAGTAGTCCTTTGATAGCCCCATGCTGTTTTGATTACAGGTGGTGGCTATTGATGTGGACATGGCCTTTTTTGAACCTAAAATGAGGGAAATCCTCGAGCAAAATTGCACAGACGATGAAGACTGCAATTTCTTTGACTGTTTTTCAAGATGTGATTTACGAGTCAACAAGTGCGGAGCGCAGCGCGTCAACAACAACCTGCAGGTAAGCAGAGGCTGCCGGGGCTCGGGGGAGAGAGGGTGCTGTCTGGCTGTTTCTGCCTGCTGGCACTTCAGATACCCTCAGTGGAGCTCAAGGTCAACCTTTTCAGGCCATCCATCTGGCTCGATGTGGTCAATAAAGGCAGGAGGGTGGGGATGGGACAATCATGTGCTCTTGGTTGCCTACCCCCAGGGTTGTTGGCCAGGCGACCAGGGGCATCTGATGAGGGAGCTCCTGCAGAGCTGGCTGCTGGGCTTCCTCTTGCCCAGGCTCCACCCCACGTATCTACCACCTCTCATAAGCATGGGCACATACACGATGAGAACCCTGAGACTAATCCATCAAAGATAATACTGAGAAGGGTGCGAAGCAGTCCCGAGACACTGGCCTAACTAGAGGTTGAACAGAAACTACCATCCAGACAGGCCAGAGGTCAGTACCAGGAGGTGGTTTAGAGAGGAAGAAAGGAGCCGAGTCCAGGAGATCAGCCACAAATGGAATACATACAGGGTTCAGGCAGTCAGAGCTGGCGGGTCTCAGGTCCCCCAGCTGGGGTTGGAGCATCTCCCCTCTTTTGGCAGAAGCTGTCCCTTTCTGCCATCACTTGAGGCTTTCAGGTGACGGCGGAGACATCTGGGCCCACAGGTGTTGATTATACCCGGAGGAGGTCCCGCAGTGTCTAGGCAGACCTCCCCTATGGCCTGGTTGCATGCAATGGCCTACAGAGGCTCTGGACCCACACTATCCAACCCACTCCCCTAGAGGGCCCTCCACTGTAGCTTGTCCTCCTCATTCCTTAAACCTGAAAGGCCAATGTGAGCCCACTGCAGACCCAAAATGCAGTTGAGGTGGGAGCAGGAGAGAGAGGAGAGAGGAGCCCCGTGTGGTGCTGCATCAGCCGTGATGGGGGATGATTTGGGAAGGCGGGGACAGGTCTGCTGTTAACCTAGTGGTCCCAACCAAGCCAAACGAACACCCCGACTCCACCACCCCAGAGTCTACACAGACCTTTTAGGCCAAAGAATCACTGAGCATTTCCCTTTCAGGAAGCCTAGGAATGTAGCTGCCTTCAGAGGCGTCTCCATCCCAGCCTCTTTAATGTGGACTCACACCCTTGGTGAGGTCCGTCATGAAATCATTCTTCTTGAACTGTGGGAAGAAGATAATTTTCACCTGAGTGTCCACTGCCTTGTGATCCCAGCTCACAAAATGGGAATACAAATGCCTGCTCTTTGCGATGTAATGAGAGGCTGAGTTTACACCCTTTCTGTAGAAAGGGCTCTTACCAATTCATCAAGGGGCAAGAGGAACACAAAGAAAATTGGCAGAACAGGCACCAAACACACAAACGATGAAATCCAAATGGCCAGACAACTTGGACAAACTTTTTTTTTTTTTTTAAAAAGACAGTTTTGCTCTCGTTGCCCAGGCTAGAGTGCAGTGGTGCAATCTTGGTTCACTGCAAACTCTGCTTTCTGGTTTCAAGAGATTCTCCTGCCTCAGCCTCCCGAGTAGCTGGGATTACAGGCGCCTACCACCACACCCAGCTAATTTTTTTTGTATTTTTAGTAGAGACAGGGTTTCACCATGTTGGTCAGGATGGTCTCGAACTGCTGACCTCGTAATCTGCCCGCCTCGGCCTCCCAAAAGTGCTGGGATTCCAGGCGTGAGCCACCGCACCCGACAGAAAAACATTTTATCTTACCATTCAAAGACATTCAGATTAAAATCCAATGATTGTAAATTTCACTTACCAATTGGGAGTAGTTATTTAAATGCTATTAATTAACAGTTGAGGCTTCAGGGAAATAGAAAAGTGTCTATATTGTTAACGTGATTGTGAATTACTTCTCTCTTGAGGGGTCGTGGCTGTTAGACATAGCCATGCTCTTTAGCTGAGCAATTTTATTTGTGCACATATCTGATTATTGACTTTGAATAAAGTCCTGAAAATGAAATTACATTTTCTTTAAGGATATGAGAAAATATGAACCATTATTAGGTGAAAAAAATGCAGGTTACAAATTAATATTTACAATACCATTCCATTTCTGTTAAATAGTATATAATCCCTTATATACCAAAATGTCAAAAGCAAGTATTTCTGGAAGGTAGGATTACAATTTTCTTTATTTTATATTTTCTTAGTTTATTACTTTTTATTTCTATTTTATTTTATTTTAGAGACAGGGTCTCGCTTCGTCACCCAGGCTAGAGTGCAGTGGCGCAACCATAGCTCACTGCAGCCTCGAACTCCTAGGCTCAAGGGATCCTCTCACCTCAGCCTCCCAAATAAACAGGACTACAGGTGCATGCCACCACACCTAGCTAATTTTTTAATTTACTTTTTGCAGAGACATGGTTTCACTATGTTGCCCAGGCTGGTCTCAAACTTTTGGCCTCAAGTGATCCTCCCATCTTGGACTCCCAAAATTCTAATTCCCAAAATTACAGGTTTGAGCTACCAAAATTCTGGGATTACAGGCTTGAGCTACCACACCCAGCCTTAATATTCTGCATTTTCAACCCAAATTACCCCCAAAATTCTTGCTCTATATAAATTTACAAATCAATGAAATGGAATAAAAACTATCTCAGAAATAGACTAATGAAATACAAATATTTAGCTTCTGATAAAGGGGGCCTTGTAGACCAGGGCAGGGTCACTGGGTCGCACAGTGAACGGTGCTGGTGAACTGGCTGCCGGGCACGACAAACACCAAGGTAGCTCCCTCCTCCTGACCTCAGACTAGATTCCAGATGGCTCAGATACTTACACATAAAAAGAGGAAATCCTTAAGGTACCAGAAAAAGCTGGGAGAGTTTCAAATACTAGTATAGAGAAGGCCTTTGTAAGTATGAAACAAAGCCAAAGAGGAACAGTTCACAAATTTAATTATCTTTCAGAAAAAAAAAAAAAACAACACAACAAACAAACCCATGTTGGCATAAACAACATTACAAAAAAAAAAAAAAAAAAGAGCAAATTTAAAAGTTAAATGAGAGTATTTGTAAAACATTTGGAGTTCTTCTTATAGACCAGGAATGTAGAGGGTGGAAGGGGGCTTAGCCCCGGCTGCTGGAGCTCATTCCCCCCAGGACTGGCTTTGCCAAGGGGAGACCCACTTTCCAGGGTCAGCATCTAGTGATTGGTTAAAGAGGGTGGGCCTGACACCAAGGCTCCTGTGCCTCACTAAGGGACAACTCCACAGGGACCCCCCAGCCCCACACATTTGCTTCTTCCTCAGTTCCATGGAGTGCGCTTCCCAAGGACAGACCTCAAAGAATCCCTGTGTGCAAACCTCCGTCTTAGAGTCTACTTCCTGGGGAACCAACCTAAAGCAAGGGCAATGTCCTTAAGATATAAAGAGCATCTACAAATGAACACAACAAAGGCCAAAAATATAAACTTGACCATTCATTGAAAAGGAAGCACAAATAACTCTCAAACTAAGAAAGATGCAAATTAAACCATTTTCACCCATCTGTTGGCAAAATGAATCTGTGACATTTGTGTTGGAGTGGCTAAGGGAGGATGAGCAGTCTTGGATACATTGCTGGGGAGTGTAAATGAGAAGAAATCTTATGGAGTCAATTTAACATATCCATCAAAACAAAAAATGCACATGCCCTTTGACCCAGAAATCCTATTTCTAGAAACGTAGTCACATGCACAAAATGCAATAGCATATATCTGCAAGACATTTATTGCAGCATTGTTCATAATAGCAAAAGTTATTATGCAACCTCAATTCCATCTATAGGGAACTGGTCAAATAACTTATGACACATGCACACATTTCAGAAGTAGCCATTAAATCACATGGAATATCCTCATAAGAACTGATTTGGAGGGAATGGTTGGGCGTTGTGGCTCACGCCTGCAGTCCCAGCACTTTGGGAGGCCAGGGTGGGTGAATCGCTTGAGCCCTGGAGTTCAAGAACAGCCTGGGCAACATGGCAAAACCCTGTCTCTACAAAAAATACAAAAACTAGCCAGGCATGGTGGTATGCCCTTGTAGTCCCAGCTACTCAGGAGGCTGAGGTAGGAGGATCACTTGAACAAAGGAGGTCAAAGTTGTAGTGAGCCAAGATGGCACCACTGCACTCCAGCCTGGGTGACAGAGTGAGAGCCTGTCTCAAAAAGAAAAATCAATTTGGAGGGATCTCCCTCATATAAACGGGGGTGGAAGATTGAGAACAGTGTGTATAATATATTACCTATGTGTGAAATAAAAGAAAAAGGAAATGTGTATGTCAAAGAATGTCTCATTCTCAGAGTGGGAGCTGAGCGTCGGGGTGAGGTGGAGCCTGAGATCGCAGTCTAGCCTTAAGAACATTTTAAATTTTGCACATGAAAATGTATTCTCTATTAAAAAAAAAAAAGCCATAATTAGGTTTTGAAAAGAATCCTTGCCTTTGCAGGGATTGTGAAATAGAAGTTGAAGGTTTTTGTCCTCTGTGAAGCAGCAGCTCTTTACAATGGAGGCATTTGTTAATTGAGTCTGATATAAAGTGTGATATAGAGTAATAAAGCATGATGCACCATGCAGGGGCAGGTCATTTCTCCCAACGTGGGGGAAGCTGTCAGAGCTACAAAACAAACAAGATGTTTACAGGGAGAAATTTCCAGGATCCTCAGCATCACTGAATTTCATACCTGATAAGAATTAAAGAGAGCGTCTAATTTTTACCTCTGCTCCTAGAATAACACATTTCACAGAGCCTTCAAAGATCCTTATGCCTGCAGCCTTTTCTGTCAAATATACCTTTGTTTCATGAGCCTTAAAGTGCTACACAGGCGGTCACTCAAGTTCACACACTTCTCCCTCATGCACTGTTTGGCCCCCTGGACGACCCGGTCAGATGGTCAATGTGGTCACTAGGACCGGCTTGTGGATAAGAAATCTCGTCTCCAGGTGGTGACAGCAAAGCTGACCTCCCTCAGGCCTGCAAAGGACCAAATCCTTCTGCAGCAGTGACTGTGACTTTTGCTTCCCTTCCTCCCTAGAAATGTGTCCAGTCCTTTTACAGTGTCACCCAGAGCTTCGTCCATCTGCTAGGGGGCTGGAAAGGGAAGTTTCTGCCTCACACAGACGTTGGCTTCTCTCGGAGGCATCGCTTGTTCATGGTGCTGAAGGGTTTAAGGGGCAGAAGTGAATGCATGTTTCCAAATCGGATGGTCTCTGGAGTGTGCTCCCTGAAGGACGGGGGTGGGGGTGGGAGAGAAGCCGAGATCTGTTTCAGAACCAATCCTGGGCTTGGGAAGCTTTCAGGAGGATTTGCTGCCCTAAATTAACTGCCCACCTTCTTTCTCTCAGGTCATCTGTGACAAAATATTTCGCCATTGGTTTTCCGCACCTCTCAAGAGTTCTGCAGTCTCTTTCCAGCTTCAGCTGCAGTTACAGGAGGCGGTGCAGGAATGTGCAGACCCTGGGGTCCCCAGTGGGAACACCCGGAGAGATACCCCCAGCGTGTTCTGGAAGCTTCGCCGACTCCTCCAAGCCACACTGAGGGAGTTGCAGGAGGCAGAGAAGTAGCCACTCTCTGGCCTTCAACATGCTCACACAGGAAAAGTGACCTTTGCTGGATTTCTTCTGCCATTGTTTGAAAGATGAGCCATTTCCCCTGTGCAAATGAGTGTTCTCTGGGGTGCTGTTCTGGCCTCCACAGTGTGGAGTGGTAAGTGCTGCTGCCAGAGACGATGCCTCACTCACTCTGGTCCCACCCTGGCCTCTGACCTGTCGCCTTGTGTAAAAGGAGGGAGGAGGTACAGACCTCCCTTCAGGAGGGCCCTCAGTCAGAAGACACAAACCTGTGTGCCATTATTCTCTGCAGAGAGCACTCGTACCTGGTTATCCCAGCGAGTTCCAGCTGTTCTTTCCTGTAAATCGTTACATTAAAAAGTGTGTGCGTGCATGCAAATGAATGTGTATGCCTGTGTCTGGGTGCAAATGAGCATGTGAGCATGTATGAGTGTGCCCGTGAGTGTCTGCATGTGTATGAGTGTGCACAGGTAAGTGTGCTCATGAGGCCTATGAGTATGCCTGAGTGTGAATGTGTAGAACAGTGTGAATGAGTGTGTGCACATGAGTGCACAGGTGTCAGCATGTGTATGTAAGTGTGGGCATGTGTATGTGATTGTGTGAGTGTGGGCAGGTGAGTGTGCTGGGAATGTGGTTTGGGGTGGGGAGTGGTGCTTTCTCTAGTGTGTCCTTCGGAACAGCTTGCCTACCTAGCAAAGAAATGTGACCTTTCTTTTGGAATTAAATACAATGAAAAGAAAATAAATTGCATCCTTAGGGAATGTAATTTGCATTGGAGAGCGTATGTAATGGCAGCTTATGGTATTTTTCATTTTGTGGAATCTACCAAGGTTATGGATGGGGTTTTAGGGAGCCTCATATTGCAATGCACCTTCCCCTGGGCAGAGACTTGTAGGTTGGCTTGACGCAGCATTGTCTTCACCTCCAGTGAAAATCTACAGTAGTGCAAATGCTGAGGTCAGCATTGACTCCAGGCAGGACCAGAGACCAGCACCTTTCTTTTGATGGACTGAAGACCAAGTGATAGGCATCAAGTCATACTGCGGCATGATATGCTCATCAGTGGTGATCCCAAGGAGGCTTTTCCGGCAAAAGACAGACAGGGGGATGGACCACGTGGAGCCAGTGAGCTTTCACTTAAAGGGACCTGGCTTCTACCCATACCTGTGACCCATGAGTGCTCAACAAACCAACGGGTCACCTCTTTACAGAAATCACATGAAAAGGGAAATCGAGAAAGATGAGAGAATCAGGAAGTCATGTTGGCAGTTTACACATTAAAGAAGACAAATTAATCTGACCTTGTGAAAGTCACAAATGGACACATTCCAAATGATCTCTTACCCTGGCCTGCAGCCCCTTTCTAAACCAGAGAAACGGGAGTGCCTGCTTCCAGACTTTGGGGTCACATTTACAGACTCTGCCCCTCAGGGCATGCTGAGAAATGTTGTGTGAAGGACTAGGATGATCAGAGGCCCCCAGCTCTAAATTCTGTTCCCCAAAGACCTGTGGGAAGGCCCACTGTCAGCTGCCATTCTTACCCATCACCACTGGGGATCTTCCAAATGACACTGAGTTCCACAGAGGGCCTCCGCATCATGGACATGAAGACTCACTTTGCAATTGTATTCTAGCAAGAAGAAAAAAACCCATGTCAGTCACCCTGCGGCACAAGTAAATTAAAACCAAAGTTCAATAGCCAGGCCTAGGACTAGTGGATTCCAAAGGAAAGGGCAGGGTTTGCGCTATTGGGTGGAGGCTTCTATTTTCCCCAGAGCTGCGCTGGGTATGATGCCTTTCTGTGGTAGTCAGGGGCATATTTTGGGCCATGCTCACCTTCTAGGCAGGTTCTCTACAAGCAAAAAGGTTTACAGGAAGATGGGTGTGAGACAGAGGGAGGGAGGGAAGGAGGGAAGCCACCAGGGCTTTGCCCTCTGTGCCCTTTAAACAGTGGGGTTTTGCTCTGGGAGGTCAGAATGGGTCTTTCGTGGGTAGACACTGGGATGCCACCCATTCATTAGTGGCCTGAGCTCACTGACCAGGCAGCAAAGCCAGCCTGAAAAAGAGAAATAGTTAGCTTTCATTTCAACCAAAATGGAAACATATGTTTTTGTTTACGATAGGGACTATGCAATATATAATTATCCAAGACGATTGTGGTTTTATTGATGAAAGGGAGCTGTTTTATCTCTTCCCTTTATGTCTGGCTACCCAGTTACACACATACACACACACACACTCACACACTCACACCCTTTTCCATCCCTGCCTGGGAATTCCCATTAGGGCAGTGGCTCTTAAATTGTGGTGAAGCTCAGTTTTGTTTTCAATTTTGAAACCTTGCAAAATAATGCTTTTATATAATGTAATAAATTAACACTATGTATATCAATACTTAGTATTTTGAATATGACAAATGACTTTTTTTCTGGCTGATCTAACTGAGCAACAACCCCACTCATAGAGGAAAATGTCTCCCTAAATGATTTCTATGTTTTGTTGTAATAACACATGATAGAACACTCTCAGAGACACGTTGATGGGATCTGAAAAAGATTATGAAGTAAACTCATCAAGCTCAGGCTATTCCTCTTTAAGTTTTATCCAAATTAAAGCAAAATGGTGCTTTATTCATCTCCAGTCCTTCATCAGGATTCCATTGCCACAGTTTACCTTGACAAATTGTAGTTAAAACTTCATTTGATGAAAAGAAAGAATTCCATAATTGTATACTCTATTGGCTTACAGCTGACAAAACCATGACACATTGTGGGTTGTGTAGAAGTCGTAGGTGGCTCAGGCCACAAGTTTGTAGATACCTGGACTGGTCAACAAGTCAGTTGGCCAACGTCAACTGGCAAGGTCACATAACGTCACAAATGTTTACAAACGCTGCCAATACTGCTAAACCCTCCTCTCAATTCGCATCTCACATGAGACAAATTAAAGCCAACAGTTCGGAGACATGCTGCCTCCTAGAAGTGCACCCGGCTTAGCCTCTCGTGCATCCTGCCCCATACTAAGGCCCAGCCTGCTCAGCCCTTCTAGAGTACCCAAGATGAACACCCAGGACATTACCTTAAATTATTGGAAGAATAACTGTTTTTAAATCTCGATTTGGAAGCTACTCTTTGAACAGCAGTAAGTGGAGGAGTTTGGTTGGAAATTTCTAAAAACAATGACCACGTAAAGATACTCTTTCATTCACCGCACTAGCCCCTGTAGTTGGTAAACAAATGCCACACTGGCTCTAATGTCTGTTCGTTCAGGGGAAAACATAGCTATGGAAAGAAATGCCCCCACCCGGCTCACATTCATGGGTTGCTCCTCCTTAAAACCACCCTTTTACTTCTGTACCTTTAAAAGAAAAGCAATCTGTGTTACAGCTGAAGCTGATGGAGCTGATCATTGATTTTCATTTAAAACCTTGCCTCTCAGAGTCCGTTCCTTACCTTCTGAAATGGGGATAATCACCTCACTCACAGCCTATTGTGAGGATTTAAGGAGATGATGAGCACCACGCCCATGGCACAGTGGTACAGAAACGAGCACAGGAATGTTCCTCGGTAGCAGTGGACAAATGCCAATGAGAAGGACTCCAGGTAGGGGACCAGCTTCTGAATCCCACTACACCTGCACTCTATCTCAGGAAGACCCAGTGTCAGGCTTTAGCTTTGTATGACATTGCACCTGGAGCCGCTCTCTGTGGATGCTGGTCTTGGCTAAAAGTTTGGTCTGGGTTTTCCTTACTGACTTAAAGCAATGGTTCCCAACCTTTTTGGCATCAGGGACTGGTTTCATGGAAGACAATTTTTCCACAGATGGGGTAAGGGGGATGGTTTCAGGATGATTCAAGCACATTACATTTATTGTGCACTTTATTTCTATTATTATTACATTTTAATATATAATGAAATAATGACACAACTCACCCTCATGTAGAATTAGTGGGAGCCCTGAGTTTGTGTTCCTGCAACTAGATGGTCTCATCTGGGGGTGATGGGAGACAGTGACTGATCACCAGGCATTAGATTCTCATAAGGAGCCTGCAGCCTAGATCCCTCCCATGCGCAGTTCACAATAGGGCTTGCACTCCTATGAGAATCTAATGCTGCTGCTGATCTGACAGGAGGCTGAGCTCAGGTGGTGACGTGAGCCATGGGGAGCGGCGGTAAATACAGATGAAGCTTGGCTCACTCATCCACTGCTCACCTCCTGTTGTGCAACCCAGATCCTGACAGGGCACAGACCAGTACCGGTCCATGGCCGGGTGCTGGGGACCCCTGAACGAAAGGCGACCAGAGAGTGCATCCAGCTGGACGCTGCTATCAGCAACATTAACATCCTCAGCCAGCTTCTGTTGCCGGGCCCCAGCACACTTTGATAGGTGTTGACAAATTTTCCTTGAGGAAGACTACACCAATTTATCCCCCTACCCATACGCTTTTCTCGTATCCTCACAAAAACTAGATATTATTGGTTGATTCTGTTTCTGCCTAATAGGAGGGGTAGACACAGATCTTATCAATTTGCATTTCCACATCACTGATGAGGCTGTGCTCATGTATTAGCTACACGTGTACTTTTTTGGTGAATTGTGCAGACTTTGCTAATTTTTCACTAGGCTGTTTTTTTTAAGAAATGATTAATCCAGTATATATGCTGCAGATATTTTCTTGCAATGCATGGTCTAATTATTGACTGCTACCGTCAGTGAGGAAACAGATGACTGAAGCTGGCTACTCTTTGCTAAGAAACATACTTCTTTTTCTTTCACTGTTGAGTACACTTTAGGGTAAAAGGCTGCCTGTCTGTTTTTCACCAAGTCGAAGGGCTTTCATGCTTGTTTTTTAAAATGCACCCGAGGGAGCCGTCTGCTCCTGGGCCGTGCCCTCTGCTGGACTAGCCACTTTTGCTTTGTGAAATGAGAATGCCCAAGAACGATTTGGCCCCCCTCTTGTATCCTGAAACCTGCCCTGAGGGCTTCTGATTCCCAAGGTTGGCCTTCCTTCTGCTCCTCGTATTTTTCCAGTAGGGTGTAGTTCACTCTTGCACGTTGCTGAGGCTCAGCCTTTCAAGAAATCCTACAGGACACTCTGAAGAGCGGAGAAAGGCATTTGCTGGGCTCCACTTTGAGTGTCTTGTTTGAGCAGTTGACGAGGCCTGTCGTGCTGGACCCATATTAACTGCAGTAGGGATGGCAGTGAAGGAGCTACGTTGTCTGGGGTCTATATTCCTGGGTTTCCTTGTTGTGTGCCAGGAAAATTTAGAACATGGACACACACGAGGAGTTTAGGAGCAGAGGTTTGATAGGCAGAAGAGAAAGAGGTCTCCAAGTGGAAGGGACCAGCTGGTGGCCAATGCGCCGGATTTTATAGTCTGGTTTAAGAAGGCTGTGTCTGATTTACACAGGCCTCACAGATTGGTTGGATCAGGTATGGCGTTTACATAGTGCATGGGGGAAGGCTGGTCGCCCCACCCTAATCTTATTATGCAAATGGACTTTCCAGTGGATCGGGGCCATCTTGTCTGCTCTTCACCGCACACGTGCTGGCAGAGAAGGGAAGGTGGAGCCGCTATCCTGAACATGTCTAGTCCCTTGCTCCCATCGGCATTCCCTCATGCAGACTCCCAGCTTGCTTGCCTCTGTTTGCAGCTTGACTTTACAGGCTGCTCGTTGTTAGAAAATGATTTGGGGTTGCTTTGTCATAAAAAAGAAAAGCCTTACCGA